ATGTGTCAAATCTTTGAAAGAGCTGCCTATGCTCAAATGTCTTCATAGACACTATGGCATGTCGAGACAACGTATATTAGGTGTTGACTCGCCAAACGCCTTCGGCATATACCCTCGGGGTACGGCAGATATGAGGACCTGGTTGATGGAGACCTAGTACATGTTTGTCTTAACGTCCGATTCGAGGTGTTGAAGATGACGGTCTGTGCTTGGACCCAGTAGTGGGTTGGTCGAGGTACGCCTTCTGTGTCGTGTAGATGATAACCGCTTTCGCATGTGATCTTCCCTTGTCCTGTTGGTCCACATGTATACGGAGGCCTCCGAATATGGAAGGTAGATCTTGCCACGCAACGTAGACCAAGTACCTCCATTAGCGGTATAGCTTTTCCGCTCGGGAATAACCACAGTCTTTGTCGTGTTGTACATGGCATTCTGGGTGTCTCACACATCGAATTTGAGTCCTGCCGTTCGTAGCCACATCTGCCGCTTCCCTTCTGCTTCGCGAATGATCTCAGCCGAGAGTTGGAGGCTGGGTGCGAGATGAGCATATCGTTCCATTTCCAGAACAACGTTATTTATGATATCGTCCATGGTCGCTGGCGGAGGTAGTAGCTGAGATAGCGAAGGGGTCATAGTTGCGCCCATGATGAGTAGTGTCTGCGAGATAATTCTAGAAAGTGTCAGTTCACGTTGTTTTGACAAACTGCCAGACTTACGAGAGAGCACCCTGGAACAAATAGGGTAAATGTCCAGCGTGGTGTGCCGTGATATATTCCAGTTGGCGGACGCATGCCTCCAGACATTTATGGCAATTGTCCTGCACGCTTGAATCCATCGCCAAAGTCTCGTCCTGCAAGACCAAAAGCACATACGGTCGAAAGATAATGGTACGGCACGCGAAATAGCGCAGCCTCAGAACGGTCTGAACTGGGTTCTGCAAAGGCACTCTATCGAGCGGGAATTGCATAGCTGGCGGTAGACCAGCATACCACTGATTCAGCTGGTAATCTAGTTCCACAACTAGTGGGTCCAGTTGGGCGATGGATGTCGCAGCTGGGCCTTTGGAATATGGTGTTGTCCTTATGTATAGCATGGAGCTCACGCGGTTGAGAAGTCTTCGAAGGGCGATTTCTGCAAGAAAGTACCACAATTCATCCCGACCAACTGCTTCTGTTCCCAGATCTTCAAAGCCGGTTGGTAGTGAAAAGCCCTCTTCGAATTGTGCGATGCCAGAATGGGGAAGATCAAGTTCTGCTAGCAGATCACTCTCAATCATTACAGTATTCCAGTAAACTCTTCTGCCTAATTCTTCTTCCGCCGGAGACACTCGACCGGGCGCACTCAAAAGAAGTTGCAGTTTCATACTGGCACCCGAGAGTACATTCCAGGCTTCGACCGGACGTACAAGATATACCAAGTATGCTGCAGCGAGAATTTGACATTGCGCGGCTACCATGTTGTTCCTTGTCATGACCGTCGGCAGCAAGCTCCAGGCTGCAGTAAAGTATGCCAAGCCTGGGGGATCCTTTTCTGGATTTTGTTGTGTAATACTGCCGGTGCTTGCAGCATGACCCAAAGCAAGAACCAGAAGAACTATGCAGCTTTCAGGACCGTCCCGAAAACCATGGCTTAGAGCAGTTTGGTAGTGGCTACTCCATGTGTAAGGGTTGACGACTGCGTAGAAGACATTTACTCTCTCAAAGTACGCTTGCACGTATGCGCCAGTGTTTGAAAGGTCCAGCCCGCGACTCGTTCCAAGGCTCACAGACTCCCGGGTCATCTCCAACTGAAGCAGAAGCTTGGCGTCGTACTGGCGAGATACGAGCTCTCTTATCATTGGAGATGACAACAGATTCAGTGCTGCTGTGTTGTGAGTTTTCGGCATAGTGGAGATATTCGAAGGATGGTTGGTCCATGTTCCTATGCCGTTGATCGGCTGGACCATGCCGAGATGGGGTATATTGCCGGTGCTACGGGCGAGGAAGTCTTCGCTTGTAGAATTACTCGCAGCTGGCGAATGTGACGATAATGAGAAATTACTGGTAAGGCCAGATTGAAGGAGGCCTTCAATGCGATTGAGATGTTCCAAGATCAGCTTGTCGCCTGCGTCTAGCTTGATACCTGGCTCCCGGTAGATGCACTCTGCATTCAGCTCTGTACAAAGTCTGCACTTCGGTCTCGTTCCATCGCATCGACTCTTCCGCGACCGGCATATTTCACACTGTTCATAGTTAGTTTCATGGAGTTGACAGATCGACATGAGTCTGCTGTACCGCAATGGTTGCACGGCGTCTCGGGTAGTCTATTGTGTCGGTACTTGGACGCTTTTTGGTGCTTGGTCGTGATTCCGTGTTCGTGCCATTCGTGCCATTGCTGGTAGGCGCAACTCCATTTGTTTGGGCGGGTGGGGTGTTGTCGTTTGACATTTCCCTGTCTGTACCAGATGACTGAGACATGTTGCGGGGCCGCTTCTTGAAGGAATTACTCAGACCACCGCTTCCTGAGAACAATCCATTCGGTGAGTCGAGCAGATGAGGAGACGTCAGGGCAGATTTTAGGATAAAGGTGTTTGCTTCGGGCAAAGTGGAGAGATTGAGGCAGAAGGCGTCCCGAGGGAATCCTCCATTAGTGGTCGCCGCTGACACGGGACTAACATCTGGAGAAGGAGTAATTCCCGCCATGATTGGTGGACGGTTAGAAAGCGGCTGGGGCACGCTGCACAACTTCTGCGGCGTGCAACCACGATATCGAGACAAAGTCCTGGATTCGTAGGCGGAAAGGGGGGTAAGCTAGGTGTAGCTGATGGAAGCAAGATACAACAATCCGGTATGAGCATGAGACGGCAGGACCAGCGACGATTATAACCACACCAAATCTCGCCTCTTCTTAGCTCCTACACCTACACATGTCACAAAACCGCCTTCGCGAGATGAGCGACGCAAATGCGGGGACGACCAGGGCATCAAGCACTCCACATTACGCTCAGACAATCAGAAAATGGCGCCAAAATGATACTTCAAGGGTCCCGAGTCGCAAGCCGTGGCCTGCACTGCACCATGGTCTTTCTACCCACCAACGAGGCCGCAGCTTCGCCCGATTGGCGATACATTGCCTGCAACTTGCCGCACGCTTGGGTAGACACACAAACAGCGTAGTGGTGGTGGCAGCCATGATAGTGTGGTGGCAGCCTGCTTACAGAGGGGTCCGCAGGAAGCACGGAGCATGGGAAAGCCATGCGGTGTGTCTGGAGAGGGCCGCGAAGCGAGCGACCTCCCCCCAGCCTTTCAACGTGCGAACCGCGTACAACAGGCTAATACATGAGGAAAACGGCCGACTAAGATCGCACTGCGCATACTGTTCCCTTGGCATAGAGGGTCCAGCAGGACTGTGATCAGCAAACGGCGGCAGTGGACCTGCATCAGCAGCATCTCCTGATCAGCCCCGCTACGCCATCACAGCTTTCGCAGCATCTCATATTGCTACCAAGCCACACGAGCTCCACTCGAAGATTCACAAGCCTTCCCATAGGCGGGACGAACCTTCCATGCAGTCTTTCATATTAATTTGCTGCCCGAATGCAATCACAGGGTGCCTGGATATACCCTGGCTTCTACCAAGGTACCTGTAGGAGCCGTAGAACAAGTGGACACTGGCACACAGCGGCTGGGATTCCAACCAGTCAAATCAGCTGCTGTCTCCGGCACTGCTTCCTTGGACTTGACTGCCTTCGATTATGCGTGGTGCCGGCGATCCAACACCGTGTATAGAAACGCTCTTATCGACTAACTCAACGCTGAGTTGAGGCGGCGTAGTGATTGTCATGACGCGAATCCAAGACACGGAGTTGCCCATTCTCGTATAGCTGGTCCTACGAGCTGGATGACCTGTGAACACGCGACCAATAAGAAAAAGCTTCTAGAAGATGGGGAAGATGTGTACTAGAAACATGTTATTGATCTGCGCTTCAAGCGGTTGAACCCCAGTCATGCGCCACATGATGGGGCAGACGTTCGGTAGGTCAACACGACCAGGATGCTCTCTGCTGATGATTGTGTCTCACGCTATCTACGTCTGCCTTTTGCGTACAAAATGAATAGCCGGTGGGTTCCTGAATCTGACTACCGTTCGATGGCGTGCAGTGGGGTTCAGACAGCCACTAGTGGACCGGCCGACAGGAGGTCGTCTTCGTTGCCTCTAGCAAGGTGAGAGTTGCACGATGCATGGCGCAGGAGGGTTCAAGATGGGTGTTGCCAACAGTCAGGGCAAGGCTTATCGCCTGCGTCATGCAGCGGCAGATGTCAAATGACCCAAGCAAAGCCATGTTGTACGCTCTGAGTATTCTATTATAGCCTCTCATTACAAGGCTGTTGACGCACCAAGCTCTGCAACTAAGAGATGCAAACACTAAATATGACGACTATAGCCTAGGGTTAGATACTAACATATTTACTATATATGGCAAGTTGGAAGGAACTCCGGTACTGTGGAGCTTAACCACCGTACGTCATTCTTTGGTTTCATAATAATAAGAAGACCATGAAGAAATTATGCAGGTTCCGTCAGTGACAACGGTACTCGGTCCAGAGTTCGCCTGGAAATGACGGAATGACAGTTCAGCAGTAGTTACGTTACAGATACTGATGAAGAGACGTGGTCGCACTGTCCTTCGGAACTGACAACGCGCTGTCTTGCGTTGCCTTCGCCATGACGTCGCTTCTAGTTACACAAACTCAAAGGCCTAACTTGGTAGTCATACGAGATAAGGGAGAGCGGCACAGCCAGTCTTGCCAACAAACAAACAAACAAATGATGGACTATCTTGAGAGAACATGGAAAGATCGTTGCCTGATCAGTCACTCAATCACACAAACAATCTAAACTTTGGGAAGATCGCGGGATTAATCTAGCAGCAAGTGGAAGAACATTAATCGAGACGATTGACATCTTGGTTGACAGCGAAAATGAAATCAGAGGCACTTGACGCACTCACCACACAAACAATGAGACCGAAAGCACTGGACGCTGTTGCAGCTCAAAAGGAAGGGGAAAGGTCACCAGACAAGAGATCACCAGCTCGGCAGCAGGTATACTCTCAGATTACTGCTACTCGAATTCCAGATTAAATCATACCAGATACAAGTCATTGAGGAGCCAGCCACCGCGAGTAAGACCTTCGAATCCCCAGCACCAGCATCAGATGGCTCCGTAGCAACCACAGATGGCTCCACTGAAGACACCCCGACTACTCCAGTCCCTACAGCCACCACCATCGTTTCAGAGGTCGCCCAAAGCGTCAAGTCAGCAGTCGACACCGCCATCGCATGGGCCGAAACGAAAGTCGAGAGCCTAAGCGCAGAGCACGATAGCACAGGCCCGTATACCTCACCAGCGACTTGCATGCCCTCGGACCTCGATGCCATTGCCAGTGGGATTCTGCCTGCTATGCCGATTGCGAGACAATACGATGGAGGGATTGATGATGATAAGAAAGAAGCAAAGGGTACTGAGAAGAGCACCAAGACTGGAGACGGACAGAGCGAGAAGAATGGAGAGAAGCAGGATGACGAAGCAGAGCCTAAGTTGTAAGCTTCTGCGAAGAGTTGGAAAGACAGGAAGGAATGAGGATTGTGTTATGGATTTGCATATGATACCCCAGCATGACTTTGGTTAATCAGGGACGGTTCAAGATATTCGTGATAGCGAATGAAACATTAGCACATGCCAAAAGAGTTGTTTGTCTTCAGGTGTCTATGCAGGCGCATTGACAGATGTTGCTAGATTTCAACAGCGTAGGAGACGACAGCATGTCGACACGCTCATTGCTTGCCCTCATAGTCCCTCTTCCACACCTCCCTGAAGCTCTCCTTGTCCACGGCGAACTCCTCGAGAAAATCTCTCTCGAGGTCATGTGTTCGCCGACCCAGCAGTACCAAGCTATGCAGTGGCTTTCCCAGATCTGCCTCACATAGCTGTGCCAAGGTGCCTGCGACAATCTGCTGGTCCTCAGCGCCCACCCGCGCGACACCCACAGCCAGACTGTCCTTTGTGTAGGCACCTTCCTGCTTGACATCCTCCTCAATCTCCAACATCTGGTGTGCACACTGCGCCACTGTCATGTACCGCGGCGGCTCGTAGATCAGGCGTCCGCGCGCCATGTTCTCTATACTTTGTTCCTTGACTTTGATGTCGAGGAGGACGAGTGTGTGTAGGCCGATGGAGACGTTCTCCTTGATGCGATCGTAGAACGAGGCAGGCTTCCAGTTGTCAAGGAAGAAGACCATGGAGACTGTTTGTCCGAAGTTGTAGAGTTGCAGACCCGTTGTGCCAATTGAGGTCAAGATGCTGGCATTGGGGATGGAGCGGGTGGGAATGGAGAGTTCGCGGGCGCGGAGGACGAGGTCGGTGTGAGTGGTCGCTCTACAGAACAATCAGCTAGGCGTGAGATGTAGTGATGAAGGATCATACCCGAATGGGTCTCCCACTACGAGGAACGCGACGTCGACTTTGTCGGCATCTTTGAGGATGTCGTCGCTGGACGACTCGACCATTTCACGGTCGGCTATAATGACTTCCCGGCCATAGAAAGCTTCCTACTGCCGTGGTAATTAGTCTCCTAATGCCTCACTCATCTTCTCCATCTTCAACTCACAAGCACATCTTTCTCTACCAGCAGAACCGCCGTGTACGCCTCGAGGTAGACGCGTTCTGCCTTCTTCACAATCTCCAAGCCCTTGACTGTGATGTCCTTCTCATCCGCCAAGCCGAGACCCACGAGATAGAGCATGATGGGCGAATGTGGCGCGTGTGGTGAATGTTGGGTGGTGGGGTTGACTCCAAATTCACAAAAAGTTGGGCGGGGCTGATTTGCATGTGGTAGGGCCGAGCGTGCGCGGGCCATCGGGACTGTCGCATCAGGCATCGTCTGAAATCGCGCTAGTAGACCGCAAACCGCGTGCCAGCCTCGGACTCCATTCACATCCATCGCAACATCCAACGCCTCTTGTGTTTAAGTCTCGGTATTTTGTAGTTGGAAGAGGTCGGCGACGCGCTTTGTATGATTGTAGGAGTTGTAAGAGTACGGAATAGGACACCATGTCGGACAAGGATAAGATGGCCAAATACCGGACGGAGATCCAACAGGTTAGTCAATCGCCTTTCCTTATAAGTACTTTCTTATACTCTCTTCGTGTTTTTGTTTCGGTGCTTTCATCAAGCAAGAAATGAGGTTTCGGTCAGTCCAACTTGGGGCTGCGCTGTCCTCTACTATAACCTACCTACACATCCCTTTTTGTTCAGCCGACCACTTCTCTGCGCTCAAGTCAATGTTCGAATGATCATCCCTTCCGGGTCGCTTCTGTTCTTCTATTCTTTGAAGAAGTCTATGCTGCGGGATGTGGTGTGCAAGGCTCGTTGTTCTCGTCTAAGATTCGTCTTCTAAGGACAGAGCCAACATGGCCCGTTCTCTACTTCACCCACAATCATCCCATCTACCATCACAAATAGTAGAACTACAACCGAGCTCGCCAAAAAGCTCATCCACAAGATGCCCATGGCTCTTGTGTCACCCGCACGTTTCCTTGACTCAAACTCCTGCCCCTACCCATACTGCGAGAAGCCATCGTCGTGTTCTCTCTCACATCCTCGCCCACCATGTCTCGGCCTCAATCGCCGGAGGATCTACTTCCGTTCGAAGTTGGCCTAAATCTAATGATCCCACAGATGATGTTCGTCTCTGGCGAAACTGGCGAACCATCTCCCGAAACGACTACTCTGATTGAATCGATCGTGCAGGATCAAGTGCAGCATATGCTGCGAGAGTGCACGGCTTTAGCTACACGCCGCGGTAGCAAATCTATATCCACAGACGACCTTTTCATGCTCATTCGCCACGATCGCGCCAAGATTTCCCGGTTACGACACTTCCTTCAATGGAAAGACGTTCGTCGTTCCGTCAAAGACTCGGATGACAAAGGAGGCGACGCCGGTGCTGACGTAGGAGCTGGAGACGCAGACATAGCTGCAGGCGTAGTAGGAGCAGGTGGTCCTGGCGCCGCCCCCGTCGATGCGTCAAAGAAAGCCAAACGCGCCAAGGTCGACTTAGTCTGGGACGTACAATCTTTCTTCACCGAATTTCCACCCCAAAAAGACGATGTCGAAGACGAGGAAGAAGAGGAGATGAACTATGCCACCCTACAACGCTTGAAGAATGCAGACGAACGTACCAAGAACATGACGCGTGAAGAGTATGTCCATTGGTCCGACTGTCGTCAAGCATCCTTCACCTACCGCAAAGGCAAGCGTTTCAAGGAGTGGGCAGGCTTCGGCCTTATCACCGATTCTAAACCTTCCGACGACATCATCGATATCCTGGGTTTCTTGACATTTGAGATTGTGCAAACGCTTACAGAAGAGGCACTCAAAGTCAAGGATGCAGAAGACTTGTACAAGAAGAACCATGGTGGCGAGCAGAACCGACTCAAGAGAAAGAGGGAGAGGGGTCTGTTTGATCCGCCTGAGGAGGCCAGGGAGCCAGTGCAGCCAAGTCATGTGCAAGAGGGCTACAGAAGGCTGCAGAGGGGTAACAACAAGGCCAAGGCCATGCTCAACTTCACGAGGAATGTGCACAGGGCGGCGCTGAAGCTGGTAAGTAACGCAGTACAGCAGGCGAGGAAGTGTGCTAACATGACATAGATCTAATGGCAAAGCAACCCGACCTAGGTTGGATCTGCACATGGTGTTTGGACAAGGCGCTTCTGGTTATTTGATACCCTGAGCAGGTAAAAGGGTGTATGGCGTCTATGGCAAGGATATTTGGAAATTCGCGAGCTTTTAGAATGCGTGCTGTAATTGGTTTGAGAGACGAGAACCGTTGGAGCAGGTATCATCACGATTGTCGTAAACGCAAACAATGCATGAAAGCAGACCAACTCCAAGTTTGACTACTGGTTTCTAATTCCGATGCTCATTTCCCTTTTTGGTACACTCATAGCATCGGTGATCAGAGCGGGGGCAGCCTTGTCGGTCGAGTATGCATGGAGAGAAGAGTCCTTCACAGACGTAACATGAAACATGACCGCATATGCCCAGATAAAAAGGAGAATGACGCCCTCCTTTAACCTTGAAAAGACCCACGCCAGGTGTTCATCATGATATCCCGTGCTTACTCCTCGTCGCCCAGCTGAGCTTGACGCTTCTGCTGGACACGCTCCTGCCTCCTCTCCCTCGCCGCCTTGGTCTTCGCACGCTTGGCGTCCATCTCTTCCTGGATAGCCCTCTCGCGGGCCTTCTCAGCCTTGGCCTTGTGGATCTGTGGTGCATGTTAGTTGCCGAACTCTGAGCGGGGTTGACATAGTCATGATGTCATGGTCAACGTACGTGTTCAACGAGAGCACGCTTGTGCTTGAAGGTGTTACCCTTGGACAGGTGGTACAGCTCGTGGTAAAGGTGCTTGTCGATCTTTCCGGCGGCACGGTACTTGACGAGGAGACGGCGGAGGACACGGAGACGGCGCATCCAGACGATTTGGCTATAGACATCCGCGTCAGCAAACAGTCTCCATCATCATCCTTGATCTCCCACAAGGAGACTCCCCCGAGTCCACTGTGGTCGTGGTATCGTGATTGCGTACCTTGGCATACGAGCGTCCTTGGTACCCTTCCTCTTACCGAAACCACGGTGGCGACCAATTCGTCGAGCGGCGGTCAGCTCCCGGGCGCGGGCACGCGAGTGCATGGTGACGGGCTTGCGGATGATGAGGCCATCCTGGACGAGCTTGCGGACGGTCTGACGGGAGTTGGCGTTGGCGATTTCGCTGGTCTCGTTGGGGTCGAGCCAGATCTTGCGCTTTCCGCAACCGACCACGGAGGCCGCGAGGCGCTTCTGAGTGCGGAGGTTGACCCTGTGAAACACGCTGGGTCAGTATTTTGATCAATTGTACGGTGATATGCGATGGAAGGTGCTGTCGTGGGAAGAGGGGTTCGCCACGTCTCGAGCGCCTATTGAGCACAGCGGCGAGTCGGGAAGGCTGTTGCGGGTGCGGGAGAGCTCTTCGAAGCCATGCTGGAGGGTATGCAATCGGAATTCCTTACATTTTGGCGGGTTGGTTGTCCTGGTGGTTAGTATCGAGAGTCGCGGCACCCTTTGACGTTGGAAGGACTGAGAATATTCGCTGGCGCGTGTGATCGCTTAGAGTGCCAAGACGGTCACGTGCGCTTCACTAGTCGTTTTGCGATGCCCACCGAAACACGACCAGCTTCAATGCACCATCCAAAACAAAGTTCGCAGCTGATGGAACACGATGACCATAGATACGGCTACGGAATTTTTCCCATTGTTCCAACATGGCTGTGGCTCTCGCATCTGCGAACATCCATCGCCAAGGCTTACAGAATTTAGGTTATTCCCGTGGCAGCTTTCTGCTGCTACCGCTAAATGTGCTGAACACGTCTGGCACAACGACTTCACAGTTGAAGCATTCGTTTTCAGCCGCCCTCTATTTCTGTTGCGAGTACATATCTCAAAGATGCAGCGGCTTATTGCCAGACAGTCTTCAAGGAGTTTGTAGATTCATCGCGCGACAGCACGTATACCGTAATTCCCGGCATCGACGATGGATGACGCACCGAACTATTGGTGCCTACGCCTAGGTCGATGCGTTGCAAGAAGTGTCGCGTGTCTCATCATGACTCATTTGCGATCATCCCAAGCCCAGTCCTGTACTTGTAGCAGTGCCGCGGAGACTATATGAGAAGTTTGCTTCACCGTCACGACAACGAGTCTGGTCATCGAGCGGACCGCGCATACGTTGCCCACATGTGCTCCTAAAGATGCCTTAGAAACCTCTAGCATGTCGAACATGGGAAACATAGTCAACTTGAAACAGAACGTTCGATATTTGAGCCATGTACGACGCAATCTCTCTTCGTACAAACACGACGGTCAGATCTTCTTTACCTATACATTGATGGGCAAACGACATGTTGTCATTCACAACAGTAGGTAACTTGTGTATGCGCGAACCAGCTGCGCATACGGAGGCAGTGAAGTGGATGTTGATACTGCTGACTTTGGCGTTATCAACTGAGGGTATTAGATAAGTAGGTTGTAAGCAGATGTTAATATCAGTCTTGTTGATGGAAGAGAGGTTGAGAGAAGAGTACCTGTATGTTTACGTCTCTATTACCATCTCTGTTCCCAACTCCATGATTCAGGTCTCGGTCACTACGCCACCCTCTCGCTACCTTTATCTTATGTATGTACTCGACTACTACACAAATATCTGACCGTACACACGTGTCTGTGATGGTTACTCTAACCATGCGGTGGTCTGGTTCTTTCCCTGAACGGCCCTTTCCCTCGCATTCATCCTCCGGCCTCTTTGGCTGCGCTCCAGCCTTGCCATCTTTCCCAGCACTAAGTCTTCATTATGAAATATACCTGGAGAGACAGCGTACAGCCCTTGCCTGAAGAGTATGTTCGGACAGCCCCAGGACCCAATTACTACTTCACTGTTGACCAAGGCGCTCGTGTAAATGGTCGACACCAATTGGAAGGCTTGCTTGGTAATTTAGACCCTTTGATAGGCACCTGAGAAACATACGTATTTCGGAGTCTCCTGGGGATAGTCGTGATAGCGGTATGCTGGTACCCTCAAGGATGTCATTGGGACAGGCGCACATATTGAGGAGTTGCTTATCGGATGGCGGAATAAACAAAGTAGCCGTCTCTTTTTGAACGCCATTTCCTGCCCACTTATATGTCCCACGTAGACAATTCCATCATCTTCGCTTCCGGCAATTGATACAAGGAAGAAAGCTGTGCGGCAGCTTCTTGACAGCCTGCTAAAGAAGGTGCGAATCCTTAATTCATTTCGCAAATTGTGAGATGACCAGTACCTTTGACCTGACCAACTTGTTCAAACGAGCTTCGTTGAGAGCATTTGCTTTTAGTACAATCATCTAGATATTCACGTGCTTAGCGAATGCATGTCCAGGTGAGACGCAACAGGGAAGACGGGAAGTTCCCCTGGACCCTCGTGGCAATGACACTTCGCACGTGCCACAACATACCACGAAAACACCAGGCGTTGGACATCAAAGCAGCAACATGGACATAGAAGGCAGTGAAAGAGCGCAATGACTTTAGTAAACAATTGACTGGCGTGCGGCAAATCAAAGGGGATGTGGTTTCCCGGCCTACAGCAAGTCGTGTGATGGCGGGTGGACTTGGCACTAATGCAGGGAAGGACAAGGTAGCGGAGATTATGGGCCAACTTTAACGGCGGGACCCCGACTGGATTGATATAACGCTGCTCGACTCCTGACTTGACGTTTTGCACCCGTAAACGTTGCGAGTCGCAGAACAAGCTTCACAGTCACAGCTGAACGTTTCCGCTCCACACGTCAATCAGCGCCACACAGCCCCATTGATCAGCACACGTTACGGCGCATACCGGTGGTTGATCGCGCTATAATTGGACCTCCTTGTGCAACCCGCCCTTGTTTGAGCGACGTTGCCAACTCCGAGTCTCTGGGACTCGCTTTACCTTGGACAAAGAAAAGACAAACAACATGTCGGCCGCAGCAGCAACCAAGCCACCAGGCACGCCTCGTCGCGAAGCCAATACTAGAACCACCTCGTCGTCCCCTGCAGCTGCGAACCGCACGCCAGCCCGCTCCTCGACGCCCACTACAAATGGCACCAGTGGGGTTTCAAGGACACGATCTGTCCGTGGCGGCGCCAATGGCACTCCCGTTTCAGCGCGTGCGGCCGTCAAGAAGCCCGCCGCATCTTCAAATCTGAGCAACGCCTCGCAGCCCGACGCTGCTGACGACGACGCCAGGGAGGAGCAAGCCGCGCTGCTACAGGAGCTCAAGGACCGCCTACAGAAGGCAGAGAACGAGGCGGCAGAGCGACAGAAGCAGGTCGAGATCCTCAATTCTCGCCTTGACGATGCCCTTGCCGAGCAGGCCAAGCTCGAGGAACGTGCGCACGAAGAAGAGGAGAAGGTTGAGTCGCTGGAGAATGTGAAGCGGGAGCTTACGCGCCAACACCGCGAGCTCGAAGGCATCTACGAGGCCGAGAGGGCACAGGTGATGAAGGAGAAGGAGGAGACGCAGTCGAGGGAGGAAGAAATGCAGAGCACCATCCAGCGCCTCAAGGAGACTATGGCCACAAAGAACATGCCCACTGGAGAATTCGAAGAGGAGCAGCACTTGTCGCGGGCCTGTAAGCTACAACTCCCGCCAGATCAACGTGGTAGCCATGCACATACTAACACATTTCGCAGCAAGCTTCCGCAATAACCCATCCCGCTCCAATTCCTCGCAGAACCTCGAGAACGTCGCATCCTTTGCACCTCCCAACTCGGTCCAACGCAGCAACTCGCGAAACAACTCAAAGCTCATCCACCAGAAGGACAAGATCATTGAAGATCTGCGCCTCGAGCTCGCCGAATATCAGGTCAAGGTGCTGGAAGTTGAGAACGCTGGAGGCGGACGTATGCGTGAACTAGAGAAGCAACTGCTCGAGACACGCATGACCAATGCTAGGCTTATGGAAGACAACGAGAGCTTCCAGCTTCTACTGGGAGAGAAGACGCTCAACGGAGACTTGAGCCGCGGCGACTTCCTTCGCGAGACGTCCAACGCCGACGACCGCGTACCGAGCAGGAGCGGCCCTTCAACCAGCTTAGCTGATGAGCTTCAGTCGGCCGAGGAAGGCGATGCTGAAGTCGTTCGCAAGCTCGAGGCTGAAGTCAACAGCATGAAGGCGCAGAACCAAGCCCTTACCCTCTACATCAACAAGATCATCGGTCGCTTGCTCACACATCAGGGCTTTGAGTCAGTCCTGGGTAACGACGGTGAGAACGATCGCGGCTCTGGTCCAGACAAGAACAAAGATCTGCCACCGCCTCCTCCCCAGGAGAGCGACCAGCCACAAGGATTCCTCCAGCGCGCTAAATCTGTCGCCATGGGCGGAAACAAAAAGCCCAGACCTCTGAGTGTGATGGGCCCCCCTCCGGTCACCAACCAGCAGAGCGCGCACGAGGACCCCAATACGGCTCCACGTATCCCCCTCACGCGCTCTACATCTGGTCGCCACCCCAGCGGTTCTCACCACCACCGCCGTTCCACTTCCGACGTACCGGGAGCCGCAGGCGTGGTCAACAACATGTACCGCCCTTCACCCGCATCGCCTGGGATGGTATCGCCTCGCAACAGTTTCTTCGGTCTGCCTGTCAGCACTGGCCCTGGATCTAGCAATCCGGTTTCAAGGGTACCTTCCGGCCAAGGTCCCACCATACCTGAAGACAAGGAAGTCGACGCTAGGACAGAGTCATCTTCTGCGAGCCACGTCGATACACCCAGCCCACCTCGCCAGTTGACGCGCAGCGACACTAGCACTGGTGTTATGACTGGCAAAGGTATGAGGCCACTACGCTTGGTCCAGAACGAAGAAGAAGCCAGCAAGGCGCGCAAGGCAGCCAACCGCGCAAGTTGGTTCGGTGGTCTATTCGGTCAAAACCCACCGCAGAACCAGGAAAACACGCAGTAGAACTGGCGCCGTCCTCCCTGTTAAACAGACGTTTCATGTAAGTACTTCTCCGGTGGATGCCCTTTGGATATGACGATAGACGGATGTACGACTTAATGGAAAGCAAATGAAGGAACGAGGAATGGATATCAGACAAGACAGGGAATGAGCATACACATATACACATATTGTGGGTGAGGAGCGTCAGTCATGGGCTTTTTGTCTCGCTCCTTGCTCGCACCATTCTAGTATACCCCGCTTCTCCCCTGCTTTTGGATCTTATGTACTTGCATTCGGGTTTTTGGGTTAGTAGTTGGTGTAATGGTATTTTCTCTTCAACTTTGAAGTTCTGTGTGCTCTGGTGCTTCGATGAGCCTTCCTCGTGGCTTTGTGATTGCGCGTGTCTTTCTTGTTCTTTTCCTCGGCTGTAACCGCTGCTGCTTCAGGATCTCGAAATCGAGTATCTTCTCTCTCTCCACGTAGATGAGCAGCGTTGAACTCCTTCGCTCGAATTTGGGAGTCACAGATATCGTCATCGCATCTGCACTCCCCTCAGTTCCTCCGCCTTCATCCCCATCTCGTTCCACCACCGCACTGCTCGTCCTCCGCTTCAAGCTCTCAAGCTTCGCGAAACTGTCTACCAAGCTCTTCCTCGGTAGCACGCTCAAGCTACTCCGTCTTTCCTGGCACATCCTACACTCTCCTTGGTCGCTAACCCGGCGTCTCTTCATCCGATTTGGGCATCTTGTTGGGTCTAGACTATGTATGATTGCATGACTGCATTGTGTGTATCGCATACGCAGGACGTTTGTGCATCTGTGAGGTGGGTAGCATGAGTGAGCAGAACAAGTCGAAAGGAGGATGTAACACATCTTCAGTGCTGGTCGATGATGCGCTGGGCAGCGTTGATAGTCGGGTAGATGCGTATGTTGTGATCTAGGATAGCGAACCTAGCGAGACAGATCTGCAGCAGATAGCAGCTGTTACGATGAGCACAATCGTTCTAGTAGACATGTTATACATATTAGGTACTGCTTGACGCGAGTTGGTTTGTGGTTACAATTGTGCAGGTGCGCGAGACATTTCCCAGTATCATTTCATTCATGTAATCAGATTGTCCAAACATTAGAGTACCTTTGTGTTGACTCTGGTATCATTGGGTTCAGTTGTTCTTTATATCTTACCTGGATGTCTTACTTTGCAAACTAAGAAACTCAAGCGATTGGCAAACATGTAGAAGAAGACGTTAGAGATTGTTCAAGTAAATTACATACACCTTAGACATGGACATACATCGCGCTCGCTGCCAGGCTTCACTTACACTGGATCTGACGCAGTCAGAATGTCGTAGAGTGTGGCGTCTATCTCGTAGGCCCCTGTTCCGACGTCATCAAGATTCTCGCGGCGTCTGATTTCGCGAAGATAACGTGCTCGACCGCCAACAATATTCCCGAGTCGTGGCTTTGTTCTGTCTTTTAGCTGATCCAAACTCATCTTCTCGATGTCTTTGTTTGAAGTAGCGTGCTTGAACAATATTTCGTTGTGAGAGCGTGAAACGTCCTGGTGCGTCTCAACAGTGCATATGTGGAAATGGGCAGACCTGATTGAGTCGTTCTCCGCAAACACATCATTGGCCCATATGATGTTGACAGAGAATCGAGGTTGGCCGTGGATCCTTTGGCTTTCGCGCTCCTTGAGAAAGCACCGCGCTATCTTGAACGAAGACCTGAAACACCATCGCAAGCCGCGTGCGATCCAAAGATACAGAGCTTCTGTCCCAAGGTGAGGATGGCGAGTAACATGTAAGTAGATTGTCAAACTGATAGGTTTGGTGAATGCGGTTAGTTCCTTTGCGATATCGCGTGGGAACGGCTCGTGACTCCATGGTATAATCATGTCCAAGCGCAGATCTTGTAGATTAGGGCATATGGCACGAACTCTGGCGATATCTTCAGCTTGAGGTACATCCGTTACGTCCTGGTCGCGATGAGAAGAACGAGACAAATCTAGGGACGTAAGGTGTTCTGGTGACAGTCGGTTGATCAGATACCAGGGGATAACACGGTCATTCTGTTGTGACAGGGCGATATCTCTCCAGGGAGATCGAGCCTTGAGTTGGCGAAGTGCTGGGAACGGGTAGGAGTCTTTGAATCCAGCTAGATGCGAATCTAAACCTGTGGTATCCTCCCCCTCTAGAGGAAGAAGCCACAACTCCTCTAGATTCGGTGTTCGCCCTACGAAAGGGATGAAAGACTGAGTATGATACAGTCCGAGAAACGTAAGACTCTCCCAGCCTGCTTGGTCGCCCCAAAATAGTAGCTCGTCTTGTGTAAAGATGGGCGAGTTCCCTACGAACAAGCCTAAAACTCTTAACTTGGGCAGAACATGCCCTTTCATGAGATCCACCGTCGAGTTAGAGTGGTTGTCGATCACTTCGTTCGCCTCAAGTTGAAGGAATTCAAGAACAGGATCTCTGATCATCGTACGAACCAGCCCTCTCTTGAAGCCGGGCCAGATTGGGGACTTTTCATCCAGAGTGATGCGCAGGTGAGTGATCATGGAGGCTGCGGGGTGCTTGGTCCAGAGATCCATACCCCATAGCGGCGAAATGCCAGTTTCACTGCTCTTGTAAGCCACTCGACTCGACTCTATAGAGAATCGAGCCCTTGGAAAGCGCGAGTAAAGCGCATCGAGCAAGTGGACCGGCACGTTGAATGGCCCTTCCCACTCCAATTCTTCCAGGTTAGTCAATCCAGCGAACACTTTCTCGATCCTGGATATATGCTCGGCATGCTTTCCCTCCAGACACAAATGAAGATGTCTAATCATGTGTGGTACATGAGATCCCGGTCGTTCAAGCCTTTGGAGTAAGCGGAGGTGTGAGGCTCGATCTAAGTCTAGGGTAATCTTTCGGTAGAGGTGGGGAACAGCGAGAATGTAGAATTGGCGTGAAGCCAAAGAGAGATTTGCGACGTCCTGGATACTCTGGCAACGTATTTTGGAGATTATTAGACTGAGAATCTCATTGACTTGTTGCTCCAAACGATGGGCCTGCGTCGGCTGTGGGGGCTTCTCCGAGCGTCTGAGCTTCATGGTTGGCTGTCGCTGATGTCGGACTTGATCGCAGAAGCTAGTTCAAATGATAGTTTTGTTGTTGTTAAGTAAGGCGAAGGCGTTCTAAGACTGTCTCGCTCGCGCCAAGGCTTGTTACCTAGGTGAAAGCTCACACAAACGCTTTGACTCTTTGACAAATTCACGACCAGAAGCTGAACTCGGCGATTTGTACGACAAGCGAAGATCTCGATTATGACAGTCCTTATGAGTACCAAGAAGAACGACACATGGCTTGAGCATCGTCACGCACTGTTCGTTTCCAATTCTCCATCCAGCCCCCAAAGATTGTGCAAGGTGAAATCTTCAGAAAAGCCAAACTTTGTACCAAGGCTCCGCTCCCGCCTTTTTAGTTCTTGCCTGTATCCTTTGCTATCCCGGTATCGTTCCAATCGGGATTGCTCCTTGCTCATCTCTTCAAGGTCAATAGTTGACATTCTGTCTAGCTTCTCTCTTTTGTTAACGTTGCATCCGCTCGAAGCTAGCCACCCAGCACTGTTGAGCCAGACGGTACACTCTGAGTTGACCCATGTTCCAGGCGACTCTTGATCTATCCGCAGAGCCTGGAAGCAGATTTGAAAAGGTTTTTCGCATGGAAGTTTTAGAAGTTTGCGCCGCAATACTATGAGTAGAAAAACTTTCTTGCATCTCATACAGTAGTTTTGATAGCTTTTCGAATGTTTGTACGGAAGCCGCAAGTGCAGTACCAGATCGATGGGTTCCTGAAATCGAGCAAGCTCTTCCACAACGAGCGCGAAACTTGAACGCTCCCCTGGTACGTCGATGGTGAGCCTGAGTCTCAATAGAATGGGACAAAGTGTCCGAATCCTACGCATATCGTCCGCAGTTGGCGCGTATAGCGATGTAATCCCACGTGGCCAATCCCATTCTCGAGTCAAGTACAGCTCCCTGATTTCAGGGTATATTGGCAATATGTCCCAGGGGGCGCAACGGATGAGAGGAGGAGGTACTAGATGTTGTCCATAAATGCCATAACTTATACGACGTAGCTCAGGTAGAGGGTTGCTCATTAATATCGTGACTAGCTGAGTTCCAGTCTCACTAGTATTCATTCTATGATCGAACTGAAAGCTGAGATGTTTCAGATGAGGAGTTTTCCCAATAAAGTGGTCTAACGGTTTGTATTAGCGCATGGCCATAGAGAGTTTGTACATAAGTATAGAACCACTTACGAAGTAAAGAGGCGTGTTGTAGATGCAAAAAGGTAAGCCGGTCCCATTCTCCCCTCGAAGCCCACACTGACAACTCACGGCACGTGAAGATGGACGTATGTAGCACTAGCTTTTCGGTACAACGGAAGCTGCTGTTGCGAAAAAGATCCAACATTTCTGGAAATGCATTGACCTCAGATGAAGTGCAGTTGATGATAGTCAAACCCGATAGTGTGGCCTTGTCTTTCAAAGACATAAGAAGATTTTTCTTGAAGTCAGGGCTAAGTCTCTGTGCACCATCGTAGCGGTACACGAACTTGTTTAGCTGAAGACCCGCTGGATGGACCATGACATAACCATTTATACGAGCGAAGTTTGACCGAAATGTAGTGGTGGGTTTCCAGGCGGTAATGTTCAGACGTGCTTTTGGGTGTCGAGAAGCCAGTAACTCAAGGAGAAAGTACGGCATTCGTAGAGGGCCAATCCACGTAAACTCCTGTAGATACGTAAGCCTACTGAACATGACGCAGAGGTCGTCCCATTGTAGTATATCTTGTTTTGCGGTGTCGACAATGACGATAGTCCGGATTCTCTCTGCAAGTCGACACCTAGGTGCCGATAATCGCTGCAGTAGACGAGAATGGGATGCTCTCGAGAAATCGAGCGTGATGTTGCGGTACAGATAGAATACAGCAAAGATGTAAAGCCCGCGAGAGACTAGACACACATTAAGGATATGGTGTTTGCCGTCGCTACACAGAAGCTCGATGATGAGGTTCAGAATCTCAGGGCTGAGATTCGCAAACCGGTGCAGGCGTTTCCGTTTTGGTCTGAGTCTATCCAAGATTCGCAACATTCTCTAGGGTTAGCCTTCTGTTCACCCTATTGGATTTCTGGGATGGAAGAAAACATCCGTGAGGAATGGAGTTTGGAATCGTGCAGGATCCTAGATCATGTAAGTCTCGCCGACGAAGGAGCCACTCGGTATCTCCTACTTTTCTGTCCCCAGTTTGGAATGATAAGAAATGGTCAGAAAAAGATCGCGTAAGAGCAATAGTAGAGATTTTGAATGCGAAAAATGTTTGAATAAACGGGGTATTCGTGCGAAGCGAAAATCAAAAGTCCCTTGATACGCGCATTACCAGAATACACGAGGCATCTCTCCGTACCTATGGATGCAGTGGGTCGTACCGGTATAAGAATTCCGTCAATCCAATAGAAACATCTCAGTTGTAGACAGATAAGCCACATAGGGCGGGGGCTACGGAATACATGGAACATCTCAGACTGTGTGGATCAGAGTTTCCTTTGATGAGAAGGTCCAGGCGCATGGTATGCTGCGATGATTTCGGTGCTGTCGGTAAGATGTCTCGGACCCAAAAGATGTGAGAGGCCGCTTGCAGAGCTCGACAACTGCAATCCATGCACGGCCCAGGACCTAACCACTTCTATCACCAACACCACAGCTGCGAGAAAACGCATCTTTTTGTAAGGGGGTATGCTGGTGAAAGCGCTAAGTCTATCATGATTTGTGGAAACTAAGTACCAAGGCAAAGTAAGGCGCCCGGCGCCAGTTGTAAATTATGGATGGATGACCACCCCAAACGTTACTAGGATATCGTTCATGAAGACACATGCTAAGCTATAAAAATGTCAAGACATCGGAACCAACAGGTATCCCCGTTCAAAGTCCAGCAGTGGCTACCTTCGGTCCCGCGGCACGCTCCGTCCATGCTACCAAACCGTGATCTGCATGCGCCCAGTACTCGCGCGTCTTCTTATACATGGCCATACGCTCAGCAAGAGTTGGAGTTGCCATTATCTCCTTGAAAGGGATTGGCCGCTCCTGCACAGGCACGTCTTTGAAGTCTATTGCAGTACCCGAATCTGCGCGCTTCGATCTCGCGGGTAGTTGCGTATTCATGGTTGGGAGCTGATGTTCGAAGGGCGGAGGTCTTCGCTGAACAATGATAGGTTGTTGTCTGTGTGGGGTCCTTGTTTTCGGAGAATCGAGATCTGGGGTCGAGTAGATGGAAGAGGTCGTGGTGAGACGCGCCAGTGTCCTTGTTTCTTGCAGTGGCAAGTGATCTTTTCGCATCGGCTCTGGTATAGGTCTTGGTTCAGGAGTGGGCGTCTTTGATATTGGCGTTGTATCGTATAGTTCGCGATCTAGTCCAACCCTCTGCCGTAATTTCGACATGCTCGACTGCATCCGTAAGGGCCTGCCTGCATTGTTGGAATTCTCCATTTGACTATGCACCTGTTGCTCTCCGCCAGCTCCGCGCGCTACTTCAGTATGATGCGAAGATGAGCTGCGCCTCAATCTAGACAGGCCTCTGGTCAAGGAAACACTCGGTCGTCGTAGCGTGCCAGCAACGGTATCTGACCGCCTTGGTACTTCAGTCCTTCCAATAGCAACAAAGGTATGCGAGGGTCGCTCATCCGGCACTATCGCAGTGCTAGGAAAGTAGTTGTCGAGGTTCGAGCCGCTATCGCCCAGCACGTTCACGCCACCGATGTGTTTAGCATCCATCGGGCCTGAAATGATAAGCGTTTTTGTCTTGGCCATAACTTTGATGCAGCCACAGCGAGGTAGCAACGAAAAGGGTGAGCCACAGGGTGCCTGATGCCCGTGTGTTGACCGGTTGCATACAGTTCGTCTCGAGTGGGTGTGGGTCTTTTCGAGGAGGTTCGCGATGGAGCGGAGGATGCGACACTAGCAACAAGCAACAACAATGTCGAGAACCACAGAGGTCGGCCGTTTCTATTGTTTCTTACAAAGACGATTTATAGCCCAGGAGGAACGAAATCTTCGCTTGGATGCGTAGTAGCTTTGGCAACGATGGGACGCAATTCAGTACGTCTGGCAGGAATGTCTTGAGAACTTGATCTGAACCCCGTGAGTATACAGTCTCAATGATGTGGCTACAGTGCTTCGAAAGCGTTTTGAGACTCAAGCTGTGGCTGCACCCTGGAAGTAGATCATGTTGCCCAGGGTTGAGTCATCTGAGACGTTCGACGTTGCGAGCGCGTAATACGACCAGATGCTATCAGACTCGTCTCAGTACCAAAACACACGGGAGATTGCCCATGACGCAATAGAACGCAACAAGGCTAACCCTAACATACAAGGCATATGGGCGTGGTATTGTTTTATACCCATAGGTTACCGGTCGCTTGTCGGAAACACGACATTCCGAATACCAACTGCATAGCATTCATGATAAACTGCCGGCTGCAGATGGACAATCTCGGCTATGAAGGCCTGCTTCCATGGTGAACCGTAGCTCTGATGATACACGTAGCGTATGCCGTGGCCCGTACTACAGTGAATCGTTTGCCATTGTTCGTCTGGAAGGCCCCTCTGCCCGCTTGAAGGTATCTATTAGTGCTCTGAATGCGATGGGCCGGTGCGGAGGTCGTAGAGGGGCCGAGGTAGGGGGCGGGACGGCATGTACAAAGAGGCTGTTCTATCACGACGGTCGCGAGCGCTCCTGTAGAAAAGCGATTCAGCTAGCTGGTGATCATGTCAATACCGTCGCGCTCAAAGGATTGATGCGCGTGTTCTGGAGGCAAGCGAGGGCGCGCCGCCGAGATGAAGCATGTTTGCGACGCGCAGAGTACGTTTTCGACTTGCGCGCGACGTCCTCACACAAATGTACCGTGATCTCCAGGCAGCGACGTGGTTGATGGGGTTGATGAAGCAGACGACGTTCCGAAGAGTCGCCAACGTCTCACCCAGGCACGCAAGGAATCCCAAAAGTCTTAGCGCGGATCCACTCATAGCGGCCCTCCGCGCCTCACAAGGTTAGCGAGCCATCGCCACCATCGCGAGGCTGCACGGCAGCGACTTCGAAGGGACTTCACCTTCCATCCAGGGGTAGCCTTCATGCAGTTCTGCTTCTATGCACGGTCAGCTCTGGCGGCTCCCGCTACGGCGGCTTGCTTGACAGGTGTCAGGCAACGCTTCAAAGCGCAGGACTCCATAGCATAGCTGGTAGGACTTAACCTGTATATAAGGCACAATGCCTTGCGCTGTATGAAAAAGCATCATCAGCATCCATCTACACGTCTTTCATTCATCGTCTTTCGAGTCGTTCACTTCGTTATCCTTCTTTTCATCGTTCCTGGAGAATCGATAGGCCGGCCCACTTTCGTTATATATCCTACTAAGACCCTATTCTTGTTTATTATTCACGATCACGACCGAAAGAAACGATACAAGAATTCATCATGAAGAACTCCGTCATCGCTCTTACCCTCATTGGTGTCGCGGCTGCCCGCCCGACCCTTATGACCAAGCGTGAGGTTCCTCAGGAACACGCTCACCGCAACGTTAACCTTGCTGTCAACGACCTGCTTCAGCAGAACAACCCGGACAACATTCAAGATAGTGTCTTTGCTCTCCTTGGAGCCAAGGCTGCTGCAGAGGGTGCCGGAGACATCACCGATACGGGTGAGTTGTTTGGAACGCAGCATACAAGCTTCATCAAACTAACTACCAATAGACTGTCTTCAGCAAGCCGTAGCTGACCAGGCGTTCACCAACGCCAAGGATGCTGGTGATGTCGCGGGCATGACTATGGCTCTCATCTACCGTACTTTGGAACGAAACACTGGCTCCGTCGGTCTGGCCTCTGCTCCTTGCCAATCCATCAAGGCCGTCAACCCTGAGATTGCTGCGCTCCAGCAGCATCAGGACCCTGCCAGTGATGGCGCCCAGGCACTCAACAAGCAGATTGCCGAAGAGCTCGCTCGCCAGATCGCCTCAGTCGGTGGTGATCCATCGATGGCCAACGAAGCTTCAACCTTCGCGCCTGGAGAGATTGGCGACCCGACCGGTGCCGGCAACACCTGCGACGTCGACACTGACGATGCAGGATGCATCAACACCCAGAACCTTCGTGTCGATGATCTCACCGAGGATGAGATTACTGCCGCGGTCGCTGGTGTCAGTGGAGCTGCTGGTAACGGCACTGCCGCAGCTGGTAATGCTGCTGCCGGTAACAACAACGCTGGTAACAACAACGCCAACTCTGGCAACAACAAGGGCAACGCTGGCAACAATGCTGCTGCTGGTAACAACAACGCAAATGCTGGCAACAACAACAATGCTGGTAACAACGCCAATGCCGGTAACAACGCCAACGCTGGTAACAACAACAATGCTGCCGCTGGCAACGCTGCCTCTGGAAACGCTGCCTCAGGTAACGCTGCTGCCTCTGGTGCCGCCGCCTTCGGCAACTGCGACCCCACCATCACCTTTGGTATTCCTTCGGATGGCCGTCAGGAGGAGGCTTTCGAGCCCACCGATCTGAGCACCTTCAACCACGGGTCTGCTCAGAAGATTGACATCATCTCACAGTTCATCTGCTCACAGATGTCCAACAAGTGCGACGTAGACGCTGCAGCTGTCAGCACCTGTGATGATGCTGCGTCTGCCGCTTCGGGACTGACAGGTCAGGCTGCTGCAGATGCGTTTAACTCGGCTCTTGGTCTTTAGATAGAGGCTTGATATGGGACGTGAACAGTAGGGGAGAATTGATGCAATGACATGGCTTACACGATGGCAGAAACCTGTATGAAACAGACATTATACCATTCTTGACTTTCAAAAATTCAAAATATATGAACCTCATGGGACTTCTCCATTTGACTCAATGTTCTCTTCACAGGTTAATGCAATTTAACACAGATATGCCATTTTAACGCGCGGCGTAAACGTCGCAGAGCGTGACCTCATTAGCCGATTCGCTGATTATGCTCGATGATCGCCTCATGTCTTTCGGCAGCGTGAGTGGGCTGCGATAATGTTCGCAAGCGCATGACACCCCCGCATTCTCGACTATTGAAGATGTCGGATGCACATAGTAAGCCCATGGTCTTCCTAGAACGGGCTGCATTTTAGGCCTCGTGCTGTGTTGAGCGGCTGGAGCCCACTTTGAGACCCTCAGGGCGCTCGGCAGTCTTTAATAAAGCAAAATCCAGCCAATGAAACATCAAAACCCAGAACTGTTGGTCGACAGTATTTCCGAATCGAGCAAGACACGTGCATATCGGGATAGCTAGATATTGGTGTGTGACGAGCTGCAGCCGATCCAGACCCTTCTCGCAGCCAAGCGCGGTATGCACATAACGTTGCGGCACACCAACTCCGGGCGGGCATAAAACGGGATCGAACTTGTCAGGGTCAATTCAACAGCGGCGCGGACAGCAAAGAACACAGTATTAGAGGGAAACAGGTTTTGATTGGGACGTGCCATATAGTGCGATGCACCAGAGGACTCGAAGCATTGGCTATGGACCAGCCATGTAGTAATGACTCGTGCATTTGTTGTGTTGTAAAGCAGAGGCCCACGCTCCACTGTGGAGAAGAGGGTTAGAGTCGTAGCGAATTGGGGTTCTCCAGTGTGGCATTGGCCGTGCGTAGTGTGTCGCGTAGCGCATAGGTGGCAGGTTTCTGCTGGTCGTCGCTCGTTCAAGTCGACGACGGTGCAGAAGAAGTGTATGTGGTGAAGTGGGGAGGAAAAGCAAAAGACAACGGGGAGTGGCCGTTATGCAAGCGGCGAGACCGCCCACAAGCTTGCAGCGAGTTGGCAGCGGGAGACTGGATGGAAAAGTCGTGACATGTGTTCGTGCTTGCAGAAAAACAAGGCCTCTATGCAGGGGCCGCCGTCGAAAAGAGCGCCACGGTCAAGGTATGACTGCACAGACCATGGCAGCTTGGATGCGGTTAGGCCGGGAGAGATGAGCGCGTCGAAACGCGTCAGTTTCGTTATCGAGAGTCTGCGGCAACAGCTTCACGTGGTGTGTGGAAGCACAAAGGGCAGAGTAGTGCGCAGACCAAGGCACAGAAGCGCATGCCGCCTCGTGTGGGCGACTTGAAAAAAAGTGTTGGACGAGAAGTGTTTGATTTTGTATGGGGCTCGGGGCACTTGGTGGGTTTGCAGAGGTTCTATCGACGATCTTGGTCTAAGCCCATCCGCTGTCTCGCACTAGCCGGGCAGCAACCGTCAGCCGACTTTTGCGAACCTCACCGCACATCACCTTCACCATCACGACTTTCACGACCATCCCGAGCCGACCTCGCCCGTCGCACTCCCGTGCGCGCCACGCGACTTCCTGACGACCGTTTCCTTTACGTCTTTCACGAATCTTGACTTTCGCTTGCGCATTCCATGGACGCGGAATAAGGCGCCCACTTCCCTTCCGCCCACGCACCCGGACCGTTCACCGCGACCCACGACTCCCATATTTTGCCAAAAACCCGCCATCATCCACCTTTACGATAATCCACGCGTCTTCGCACCCGTCTCTGGACCTTTGCGCGTCGTCTTCGACTTTTGCTAATCGCGTTTTCGCCAGTTGCAAGCTGTTGTCGCGACTTGGAGCTACGCGCCATCCTCACCACAAGGACCTCTTGTGCATTGTCCTCGGCTGTAGAGCTTCTGCAACACTGAAAACGCCCGTTGCCACTGCATCTAAGAGTGCGCGACGCCTTGCGATAGTACGCTCGCTTTATCAAGCCGCACTCGATCCTGATTGCACGTGTAACCTCCCTGCAGCCGCACTGTCGCGTTCGCAGAGTACCAAACAGCTGCTGGGACCCGCGCCATATCGAACCTACCGCCCTGCATAATCAAACCAACCCGACAACAATCGGACCACGCTCGAACTGGATGCATTAATCGTTTGTCGTGCCTGAACTGTCGTGCCTGAACTGTCGTGCCTCCTTGCACTTTCTTTGAGATTGACCTCTTGGTGTGGTCAAAGACGACCGTATCCTGAAACACCCGACATCCCGGTCATCTCAATACGTTAGCAACATGGACGCCGAACGCCCCAACCTATCTACTACCTTACCAAGGAACTTCATGTTCCATTACCGTGACGGCCCGGCTCCACAAACACCCGAGCCAGAGCCACAACCCGAACAGCTGCAACCGCCGCCACCGCCTCGACAAGTGCTCAAGGTCCGTCGTCGCCGTGCCACCATGGCCTTGAACCACGACAGCATGGACGCAGTCATGAACCAGCAACCCATTCCAACCATTGAGGCCCCCGAGATCATGTCAGAAACTTCGAGCGATCTGCCACCATACTCACTGCCACAAAACGACGCGTTCCTGTCTCCAGGATTCGGCTTCAGCCGTATCCTCTCTCCTCCCAAGACTCCTGTTGCGCAGATGAGGACCATCAGCCACTACGAAGGACCTCAGGACTGGTCTGACGTCCCACATGTCAGTCAGAGTGAATCATCAAGCAGACCTACCTCTTCGTCGGGCTTCTCAGACTCGTCTGTCTCGTCCTGCGATAGCATTGGCTCATTCATGTCGCGAAGCGGCAGCTGCACCAGTCTAGAAGACGAATCATCAGACCCCTTCGCGTTCTGCCCACCCACGAACAAGTCTCAACGTCCGGCCTCACCTTCGATGGCTACCCCACAACCTCGCCCTGCTAAGAAGCTAAGATTGAGAGCATCCTTCAACCAAGAAATGGATCACCACTTGTGGATGACTTACATGAAGTATCTCCAAGATCCTACAGTGACGCCGTTCAAGGCTCTGCCGAGCACGACTCCCCCGAATGGAGTATGCCATCGTGTGGCGAGGATGGCCCGCAAGACCTGGAAGGGCCCAAAGCACACTCGCGCTGGCCCGCACGCGACCCCACAATCCCACCCCCTGACTGGTACACCAAGTGCCCTAAGGTCGATAAGGAGCGGCAACAACACACCTATCACTCTGTCAAGCAAGTCATCAACACGCTTCCCTAGCGAGAAGCAATGTCGAAAGCGACTACGAGACTTGGCTAAGCAGAAACCGACTCTGTCTGCACACTATCAGCGTATGCTTCGTCGATCGCCTTCGCCGCTACAATCCTCTCCCCCACCTGAGCCAGAGCCGCAACCGATGCAACCGATGCAACAGACGCAACAGACGCAACCACAGCAACAAGAACAGCAACCGTTGTCCTCGCCGTTCGGCTCTACTAGCTTTTCCACAAGGGACATGAATCTGTCGCTGGCTACAAGCACCGCAGCATCGATGCAGTTGGGTAACCCGTTGTCGCAACTTACCAAGGATATAACACCGAGACCGTCGCCGCGAACATGGTCAAGTGCGCGTTCTTCTGCTCACCAGAAGTCGCAATCGCTCCATATCGGCCTGGGATTGGGCAACGTGCTAGGCTCACCATTCCATGCGAGGTCTGAGTCTACCAACAGCAAGATGAACCAGAGCAACGCGCGAACGTGGCACGCGCAGTCATCCTCTTCCCAAACACCACGTCTCGGCTCGCCTTTTCAACTGCACGCGCCTCGACCCAAGTCGAGGGTGTTCAAGCGACGCGCACTTCACAACAGCTTCGAAGATAGAGCACGAAACCGCGGAGAGAGCTTCGTCAACGAGATATTTGGGGCACCAGCCGAGTCAAGCCATCGTCGTGTAAGGAGCCGTGGTTTCAGCTTGGGCGACATGATGGAAGGTGCCCGGCGACTACCTCTAGTCAACGACCCGTCAGGGTTCAACCCGTTCGCACATGCTGGATCTGCTATGCCTAGCCCAGCTCAGACCTCGCCTGCTGTGCCAGCAGATGTTCAAAGTAAAGGTACTGTTCGACTAGGCTCACCATTCGTTGGTCGATCAAGTAATACCTTTCCTCGAGCGGCACTCTCGCATAGCTTCGAGCCTCCAGCTTCATTCGAACAGCGTTTCGCCGGCATGCCTAGCGACTCGGCACACCTATATCGATCGTAGAGCTCGATTGTCTTCTCTTCCGCTTAATCTATGCACCTAAGCATGGTTGCATCATCGGCGTTACGACCGACAGCCTCAAGCGTTGTCATTGCATACACTTGCCTTTTGGCTCACAGCCTAAACCTGCTTTCTGTCAAAAGCATTTCCTTTGTCTTGTCTATACCAACTTCGACCTTCTTCAGCGGCAGATCTCTGCACGTTGGATTGCTTCTTGGTTCATGTTCTCGACTTTTACTTCTTGGACATGATCATGTGGCTACATGTGTCTTCGATGAACTTCAATAATTTGGGTGTGGGAGGCCGAGAGCGACGTTGGGTTCGGTATGGAAGGCCCTACAACAGACGACGTCCGACCAAACCTACGGCTTCGGCTTCCCCATCTCTTTTGCGTATCCAGGCATTCTTGCTCGGCTATAGCTTCCTCTCTTTATCAACCGACCATACAGATCGGTTTCTTATTTCCTAGTGTTCATGTCTTTCTCTTCTATCACGACGGACATGATGAACGTTACGAAGCGTGGGTGGGATATCGGCGCCAATCGGGTATGGAGTCTTCACGAATCTCAATGACTGTCTCGAAGCGTGAACGACTAATACCCAGTCTCTTGTCTTTCAGTGACATCTGCTTCGATATGGATTTGGTCCGAAGGAATGGATCGGCTGGATGGGTGATATAGCGGGGTTGACGGTTCGGAGAAGAGCCTAAACACTTTGACAGATCAGCTGGTCCTTTCTGAAGGAATACAGATGCTTCGAGCAGATGAACTAGTAATGAATGAAATGGATGATTCAAATGAAAAGAGTGTGAAGAAGAGACTGTGCGTTCCACCTAAGCCCCTCTCAGTGCACTGATCTCCGCACCGCCGTGCCGTAAAGTAGTTCCGTAACGTGAGCACAGGCGTCATCATGTCTGGTCTGTGCCTTCTGCCCATGATCCATGGTAGGCAGTTAGCCCTAAGCCACGACGCGATGGATCCCCCTGCTGCACCGCATTCATTCTCTTTGATGAAAAGCAACAGCTGTTTCAACACACGGTATAGAACAAGAAGCCAATAAGTCCTGAATCTCTATCTGTGTACAGATGAGCCTGACCGACGAGGACCATCTAACGATCTTCCGGCAGAAAAAATAAAACATGCAGCAAGCGGATGGAACCAGCCCACAACACCAACCCCGAAGTTGAAGTTTCGCGGCCGCATGCACAATTAGCCCAGGCATTACGCCGAGGCCTAACGTTTTCCTCGCTGCCGTAGCTGTCCGGCCAGTCAGACAGTGCGAGCATAAGCCGTAGTACCCACTTGGGCTTATTGTGTGGAGAGTTGTGATGGAATTGTGTCGCACGTCGCGTGCCAAGTTTCTCAGCCCGTGCCCTTGTGCTGGTGCGACGCGTCGGAAGTAGATCATGTGCTACCGCGAACGCGTGAGACGTGTCAAAGGACGTGTTGACTGCGTAATAGTTGGACCGGATGCGGTAAAGTCATGGTTTGGCATGGAGAGGGGCACCCTGAGAAGGATTCATCGCGTGCATTGGTGACCTATCTAGTGCAGCGGCTGAGTTGCTTTTGGCAACTAGGGATAAGCCCTTTGGCAATGGTATTGGGTGCGGATGCTTATGCGTCTGCCGGTGAGCATGTATAGTAGACGCAGGTTTTACTAAACGCGTATATGGAGAAGCGGACCTCGCTTGCTGAGTGAGCTCGAGATCATCGGTCGCCGATGTTTATTCCCCTCATCACACAGCCCAACCCTGATAATCTCCGTTCCAGGCCCTTGTTTGCTTTAGTGTTCTCACGACACCATAACACGATACTGACGACACGCGTTGAAAAACTTCAGCCGTGGCCGGTTTCACGTTGAGGGGGCGGGGTGTGTGTGGAGACGCTGCATGCGGAAGGTTCGACGGATGATGATATCGGGCTGAACACTGGCGTCATCTTCAGTATTACCACGGCAACTGAGGCAAGCCTAAGGCGACGGATCGCCTTTGCAATATTGGAGACTGAACTAGATCTCACCGTCTTACGATCTTCTATGCGGGTAGTTATCTACCTATGCTTGGTCAGGATATTTTCTCCGTCGCTCCACGCGTTCGCGTTTATCCGAGGCCATTCGGCGCAGCCTTCGGATCCTCCATCGACATGGCAACTTCCATCTTACAAGCATGTCGACTGGTGAACTAATTGTTTGTTGCTTAGGATATCGTATCTCGGAAGCACCTAGGCCTGGCTGCTGTCTCTTGACGCACGCGGAACTCTGCCCGAGGTTTCCATGTTGGATGACCAAACGTACTGGACTCACAACCTACATTCAAAGTATCACGCAGTACCTTCGAGTGCACCACCAGGATCCGAGTAGGTACTCTTATTCTCATACGGTGTGCAAAAGAAAGCGACTATTGATGAGTACTGAAATCTGGATTTGGCAAGCCATCGTGTTGCATGCGATGCCGGCTCCTCGGGACGTTGTCACGCCGTTCGATACCACCAATATGCTCGTCGCAAAAATCTAACCGCACAGGACAAGGGATGTCCTATATGTGTGTAGTCGAGTACTCTAGCTTTTAGTAGCGAGCACACTTCTCCCGTGGAATTTGCACTAGCTCAGGCCAGTGCTTGAGGACTTTAGGCGGTGAGTCGTGCTGAACAGTCAATCCATATAGCATGTGGGGGTGTCGTAGATTCGAGATGTCCGAAGGAATCTGGAGCTGGCGTGGGAAGCTGCCCCTCAATATACGCATCGTGCTAAGGTGAGAGGTTCTGATGTTTCGATTATGCTCCCGTAGAGGATGCGTATTCTTCACTTCCATCTTCCATTTATTGCCTTCAGATCGTACCTCGGTAGACTAATTTCTTAACGATTGTCGTGCAATGTGGCTTTATATAATAAAAGACTACACAACGCATTAGATATTCGAGATGTATCTGTTATCAAGCTGGGTCTCTCTTTTGCATCACTGGGACTGTTCGCATCCAAGTATAGTAGTATGTTTTTATAGCATTGTACATTATGATAAGTCTATATTATGGTAAAAGCAACGGACCTTGTTCTAAGAAAAAGCAAATAGTACAACAACGTATCCCGAACTCCTAGCCGTGGCCAAGCCGGGGTATAGCAACTAATGACGTAGAAAAAGACACTGACATCCACAGCCCACCTCTCGTTTGTGCAATTTGTCTCCGTTCATCAACAACGCCGGTCATGCCACCTCTCTACGAGGATATATCACTACCGTTCCTCAGATGCATCTTGCTCAAATCACCGTTCTGCTGAGGCATCTGCGCTAACCAGGTAGGTGGCGCCATACCAGTCTGATCATGAATAGTGCTGAGAAGAGGTGGCAGGCTCTGGAACAGGTTGCGAATAGGTGCCGACGGATCCGCCATGCCCTCACTACCCTGGCTGCCAGTGTTCCAGACATTGATCTTTGGTTGAAGTCCCTTGATAGCGTTACCATTGGCTTGCGCAAGCTTCTCGTATGTGCCGTTGGTGAGCATGAGGTATTGCATGAGACCTTGAGGACCACCGAGAACATTTGCCATGTCGCCGTAGGCCTTGGCCATCGCGGAAAGACCTTCGGCCTCGCGCTGTTGGGTGATGAGGTGGGCTTGAGCTGCACGCTCCTGGGCGAAATATTCTGCTTCAGCCTGACGCTTGGAGACGATGAAGTTCGCCTCGGCTTCGCGCTCTTTCGCCTGGAAGTTTGCCTCAGCATCGCGGAGTCGACGGAAAGCAGCAGCTTCAGCTTCGGCTTGCTGGCCGTACTTGCTTGCATCTGCTGCCTTCTCTTGGGTGTACAGTTCTGCGTCAGCCTGCTGCTGGGAACTTTCCTTCTCAATCTTAGCCTGCACAACCTTGGTTGCTCGAAGACGTTCAAGCTCCATGAGTGCCCTCTTCTTCTCGACTTCCGTCTGCAGCTCCGCATCACGGCGTTCAGCTTCACGCTTAGCGTTGATTCGAGCAACATTGAGGTCGCGGCCAATCTCAATCTCCTTGTCGGTGAACTTTGCATCTGCCGTGGCCTTCTCGGCTTTACGTTCGGTTTCGAGGACGGCAGTCTGGGCGTGGATCTTGGCGACTTCTTGCTTTGTCTTTCCTTGCTTTTCAGCCTCTCCGACCTCACCTTGCATACGAGCATGGGCGACATCGACCTTAGCTTGGTTGAGAGCGCCCTCGTGCGCCTTGCGAGAAAGAAAAGCAAAGTACTCTGAACCTGGTGTGTCTTGTAGTTCCTTGACGTTGGCGTTGTAAATGCAAAGACCAAATTGGTCCAGCTCAGATTGCACTTGCTGAATTACTACTCGCAATTAGTGTCTGCCGTATAGGTAATCTGTAGATTTCGAGCTTACCTTTGTCCTTGAAGATCTTACGCTCACGGAAAAGTTCTTCCATAGTCATGGTGGAGACGATGCTTCGAGTCTCACCCTCAATAATACCTTTGACAATCTCTTGAACATGATTGCGACCCTCAGCAACTGAGACAACACCCTTAGCTGCTGTTTGAGTAGGACTGCCATCGCTTTCTCCAGTGAGCAATACGGCGTATTTCTCAAGAGCTTCAGGGCTATCTGCAGGGCCGATTGTGAAGACTGCTGGTAGAGCAAATTTAAGTTTCTCGATAGTCATAGCCTGGAGGGCCATGGAGAAGTCAAAGGGTGTAATCGAGATCTTCGAGACCTTTTGTAGGGGGTATACAAAAGCTTTCTTCTTAATTAAGACTTTCTCGATTCCTACACCCGTAATAACGAGGTAGGAATTCGGCTCTGCGACATGGTACCACATGCTGACGGCTGGTTTTTGAAAAACTCAGATGATGCTGATGGTAGTTTTGATGGAGTTGGTGTCCAATATCGGAGGATAGTCGATGAAGGTTGGAACAGGTGGTGTAGTAAAGAGGAGTGATGCAGCCCTTATAAAAGATAGGAACCTCTACTCAGTAATATATATGAATGCTTTGCGTGAGTTACGCGGTGCTGATAGAACCACGGTACCTAATGTGCTCGTAAAGGACTCAAGGTTGTACCGTACCAGAATTGAGGCTCGGGATGATGATGAACAGGTGTACTGAGGTGTATCAGGCAAAACAGGGGCCATATTGACTATTTTATACATCTCGAAGTCTTTGAGATAATGTTTGCACATGCTGGCTTATCCGTGCAGCCGGCATGTAAAGGCGTTCTCGGTGACCATCTTCGTCTGGTGTTGGTGGAAACACATGCACAGACCATATGACTAATCCCAAAGAGGTTAATGCCTTCTGCCTTGCGCCACATAGCCTGCTACATGTGATCATCTCAGCCTTGGTCCTGAAGCGGCATTTTGACTTTTGAGAGGCATAATTCCAGCACGGTGAGCGAAATAGGTGCGTCTTTTTGCTGCGCAATGCATCGCTCAAAGAAAAGGGCCGGTGAGGCGATCTTCAGGCCGAAAGTCAGGAACGCGCTGTGCAAACTGGGCGTTCCCAAGCCTCCGTCCCGAACTTGCTGGTTGAAGTTACTGTCTTCTATCTTATCGCATCCAAGACATTGTCTTCACTGCGCCAAGCTTCCCGGGCCGAACGCCTCGCGACCGTGCAGATGCATGCTTGTGATTCGCTTACCATAGGCGGCGCAGCGTAACACTGCGTCCTTATTCCCATGGCTTATAATGTCACGAGACTGTACAGGTACCCTTTAGGACTAGTTAAGGCATCAGTATACGGGATTGAGGCAGGGCTGACTTCTAGAAATCTGCTAACCAGAGTATAGGTTTGCCGAGATCCGTAGATATCGATGAATGACTCTTCTGACTACCGCCACTGGAGCGGAAAACAGAAGTTTGGTAAAGAGAGCAAGTAACTGACCAAGGAACTCGAATCGCCGCAGAGATTCTGATGTCACAGCATCTACACTTCCACACCTCTACACATAGCGATACCTAGATAACCTTCATCTCTCAATCTCAAATCTCGACAATGTCTCGAAACGAAAAACAAGCCTCTCCTCCACCGTACTCAGAGTACAGCTCACCAGGGTCCACACGAGGTCAGACCATCCTCGATCAGTTAAGCACAACCCGCACACACCACATTCAATCCGTGATCGAAAGGCACGTCATTCCTCTAATCGAAGAACGCGCTACCTACGGCATCGCCCAAACAACCATCGCCATGCTCCCCTCCGATATACCTTTGCCCGCAGTGGAAGAGAAGTCTGAATACAGCTTCGACACTTCCGACTCCAAACCGGTAGAAGTAGTTGGTTTCTCATCAGAAGACGAGCCGAAAGTCGTGCGGTTAGAAGGCCAAATGAATCGGACAGAGTTTTGGAGACCGCAAGTTGTGATTGTAGAGTTGGAGCGTATGCTAAGCGAAAACCTGAATGCGAGCCCGGTTCTCAGGAGTCCCAGAGGGCATGGAAGAAGTGAAGCGGATAGTGCACAAAGGCATTCGAGGAGAGGGTTTCTCAGTAGGGTTATGCCATCGTTAGGGCCAGAGCTGCGCTCACCGAGCGGAAATCCCGAGGTTGGCGTGAAACAATTGGATCAAGTAAGAATGGTCGTGGTAAAAGCTAGATTGGAGGAGATTTGTCTGAGGACTGTAAGCGAGTTTGGCTTGTACGATACAATGTCGAAGCAGTGCGTCATCATTCGGGTAGATGCACGGTGTTGATTATTTTTCAAAGCCTGTAGACGAGATATTGAGTATTTAGTAAGGGATGATATGCGATCTTCTTACCATTTACTCGTTGGAGATGCAACACATACGAGGCGAGTACGTATTTTACTTGGGCGCATCTAAGCAATACTCGTCACCTCGGACCTCATGCAATACTAAAGTAAGTGTCAATCATGCTGTATGTCAATGTATGTTTTTAGCAAATGCATTCAGCAGTTCTAAAGAGGAAAAAAATTGTAGCTTCGTACTGAATACGGATCATATGTCTACGTGCTGACTACACAACATAGGCAAAAAAACAATCCTCCTCCGGGAAGGCTCGAACTTCCAACCTCCTGATAGCCACTGGTGTAACAGTCAGACGCGCTAGCCAATTGCGCCACAGAGGATTTGTTGAGATTCAAGAAATCGTACCATTTATATAGGACGGCGATGATGGGCCCTTGACTACCCTGAAGATTGGGCCACGGTCGTCGCATGGTGAGTTGTGCGGAATGAAGTGGGGCAACCAGGTCCGGACCCCACCACCTCGAATTCCACATCCATATCATCATCGTGATTTCCCATGTATTGTGTCCTATTTGCTGTCGCTATGCCTCCTCTGCGTCATTCTTCAGTACTACTATGCCATAAGGATCTCGATCGACCTCGCTGACGCCAATCTCAAAGTCATCGTCCGCCAATGCCTCTTGGAATTCCTCGTTGTCCTTCTCCTCTTCTCTGACCTTTGTCCATTCTTCTTGCACTGCCTCTTCTAGTTGCTCCATCAACACCTCTGCCAGGAAGCCACGCTCAGAATTGCTGTGAAACAAGCTGATAACGACCCTGCCCTTCTCGATCGCCGCAAGCGCCGAGTGATGATCCATCTCGCCTGTGAACAGCAAATCCACATCGAGACCGTTCAGTAGGCCTGAGCCTGAGCCTGCACATATGCCTACGCTACGTATCTCAATATCAGAGATCGTCTTGTCCTGTGGTATGGCGATTGGGAAGCCCTTGGGGTTGTTGAGTCCCTTGCCTATGCGATCGAGTAGCGTAGGAAGCGGTTGTGGGTGGTCGAACCTTACGACGCGACCCATACCCGCTCCAGGGTGTGAGGCTAGTGCTGGCGATTGAGGTTTGATGGCTTCGCGCTTGTGAGGAGCTGTGAGTGGGACCGTGGTGGGGGCAGGTAGCTTGCCAAAGCTGAGCATTGGCTGGCTCGGATGATGTTGCAGGGTGAATGTAGGGCGCTTCTTCTTTTCGACGAAGGGGTCATCATCATCTGCGTTTGTGTTGCTTGTAGCTTCGGATTGACCGTCTGCATCTGAACCGTCACGAACCGTCTTCGTGCCTGTTACAATATCCGCTAGCCAGTCCCCAAGCCCTCCTGGAGCTGAGTCAAGCGCAGTGTGCGGGCTGTACACACTGATGCCATGGCTAGCAAGGCGTAGTAGCGATTGCTGTTGGGTATCCGCGAGAGTCAAGGACTTTAAGCCTCTGAATATGATAGGATGGTATGCGATGACAATGGAAGAGTTAAGGGCGATTGCTTCGTCGGCGACAGCTTTCGTAAGGTCGATAGTAAGGAGGACGGTGTTTGACTGGCGTCGCGACGGATCGAATGGCGCCTCAAGCAGCAGCCCAGTATTGTCCCAGGAGTTGTCTGCAAGTTCACGGGGGTACCTTTGAATCAGTCAGTACATGATGTTATTTGAATCGCGTAGGGGTCCTGGTCAATTGCTATGCATCGAAGAGGGAACGATGCATTCTATCTGATGTCACTTACAGCTTCTGCATAGCCCTCACCACCGCCTTGGAAAAGGGCGCTGAAGCAGTGGTCGCACTCATAGCGAATCGTCGTGCCGTAGATGCAAACATACAGCTCCCAGATGAACAATTGCAAAGCAAAACTACGCGTGCAGCAATCCCGCCTTAACGCGCCTGTGACCCCTGCAGCTATGCGTCATAGCCCCTCCCCTCTCCAAATCCCGGTCTTTCCCCGTTTGGAAGCCGCATCTTATCAGATCCGAAGATAGGAACACCAAGTCAATATCACATCATCGACCTATGGATCCACGACACAAACTTTACAAAACTCTTGATAATCTTGCCATCGAACCAGACGCTACGAACAATATGAGTGCAAGGACGGACGAGGAAGCGACGAACGTGCAGGCAACTTCTGGCGTGACCATGGAGGGACTGGAAAGGAAATTGAAGGAGGGTTTGGGCGCAACCTACGTTGAGATTGAAGATCTGAGTGGTACGTACTAGTTTTTGGTTTCCAATGTTCAAAAACAAGCCAGGAGGGTTTTGTCGTAAACATGGTGTTGAACTAGACAAGTACGGTTTGGCAACTGGTATCCTCAGCACATACTAACGAACAAGAATAGGCGGATGCGGGCAAATGTATGAGGCCATCATCGTGTCTCCCCAGTTTGCCAAGAAGACCACTCTAGCACGGCATCGGCTAGTCAACTCGACGTTGAAAGAGGAAATTGCGGCGATACATGCGTGGACGCCAAAGTGCCATACGCCAGAAGAGTGGGAGAAGAAGAAACCTCAGTGAAGCGTGACCACATCGAGTTAGACATTCGAGAGAGCATGAGTACAGACTTGCGCGTCACAAATGATGGAAATGATGAATACGATGCATGAATGAGGTGGAATATCATGATCATTGTCTACTAGCTTGTACATACTTGTCACTGCAGACGTCTAGCTGAGTAGCACCCGTATCTCACCACTGGTACGAGGAAACAAGTCCCTCAACCCGGGCTCCTGCTCCTCGTCTTCCTTGTCTTCATCGTATGTCAGATCATCGGCCGCTATCATCTTGCCCTCCACAATTTCAAAGTCCTCGCAGAATTTGCTAGCCGCTTCTTCGGTGATATTCTGTATCATCTTCCTGTTACGCAGCCGCTTGATGTTTTCCGATGCGTCAATGATAGCTGACGGCAAAAACTCATCCAGCTGCTGACTGGCTGCGACAAGTGCATCTGGCTTGAAAGCTTCCAACTCAGGGATTGTCTTGAGACTTTCTGGCGAATCATCGATCTCCTCAAGAGCATTGAGAAGAGTGACAAGACCAGACTCGTGAATCAGGTGTTGATGTTGGTAGTCTGTCAACTTTGCAACGTTCTCGTCAATCGTATCATCAATCTCGCTGACTCGCTCGCTAGCGAAGGCATATGCAGAGAGCACCTCTTTTGCTGCATAAAGGCAATTAATGGCGAAAATGGCGCTGTCCGGCTCTTTCATCTCTTTCTGCAAATTTTCGCAGCCATTCAAGAAAGGATCTAGCGATTCCGCAAGTACAGTCTGGAACCCTTGACCGTTATCCTCCGTTGCGGCAACTGATGTATCGTAGCTCTTTGCGAGAGTTCGAAGCATCTGAAGCGCATCTTCTAGAAACTCGGGAGCAGACAAGTCGGCCGGTGCTACAGCAAGATCGCTTTGAACATTGGCCACGTAGTCCCTCATATTGGCACGGAATTGCCGCATCGCAGAAGCTTCCAATCCGTCAAATACATCCAAGACATCGGAATCTGGTCCAAGCAGCTTGGAAAAGGTTCCTTTGTAAAAGCCGATCAAGTTGGCGATCTTGTAAGCAAGGGTAGCATCGTCATGGCTTTGAACTACCTGCTCAGTACGCTGCCTTAGGAGACGAGCCACGCCTGTGAGATCGCGGCTGACGAGCTGGTTCAAAGCTTTTCGTCCGTCAAAGACTTCTGCATCTTCTTCACCTCTCAGCCAAGGTTCGCTTTCAAGACCTGCTTGAATGGAACGTTTGATTTCATCGCCATCTGAGATGAAGAGGTTCTCGAGTGCCTCCCTCTCCGATACAGTCGTTGAGTGAGCCCATGCAAGCATGTCTCCGACGTAGCGCAGTGGGTCGTGAGCATGGAATTCGATTGGTTTGGTGGCTATATGCTCTTCTGAAGTCGATCCAGTCAACGCAGCATGGAACGAGTCGGACAGAATGGCTTCTCGTGCCTCGGCGAAGGAGTCAAGACAACTTTGGAATAGTGTGGGACGTTCGGCTAGCACGCGCAAAGACCGGCGCACAGAAGCACTAATCTGCGGGTTTTCTAGATCCAGTGTCTTGAACTCGCGTTGGATCCACCGATATAGCTTCTGGAAGGCTGAGTTGAGTTGCTTGGAGCTCTGTTCTAGCACCTCCAAGCCCAATCGTTGGTCTTCGGTTCCGAGCAGCACTTGGCAATCGTGATGTATTTTCTTTACGCGGGTCAAGACTTGGAAGAAGTCTTCGTTGACAGGCTCAGCAGTGGATGTCAGAGTAGTGGCGTCTTCTTCAGATATCAGGAAGTGGGTGCTAAAGGCGTTCAAGATCTGCTGCTTAGATTCGACCTGCTTCCTTTGAGTGATGAGGCTTGTGGCTTCTTCCAAGACAGGTCCAGTCTCTCTGTTGGCAGCCTCAATATGACCGCGCATATCAGCGCAATAAGTGTTCAAGCTACTGATAGCACTTCCGATACGTTTGAGTTGCTAGTGGAGCTTAGTTGATGTTTTCAGCAGTTCGTGTTGCAACATACTTCGGCAACCTGACCAAAGTCCTTGATGATCTCGCCATTGCACTCGATGACCTCCTTCTGCACATCTAGACGCAACTGACGTCGTGTCTCGGCAGTGTTCTGCACTCGACGTGCATCCAGAGTTTCCAAGGCATCGCGGATCTCTAGATCTGCGTATGATGCAGAGAGCACACTGGTGATCCTGCTCGAGAGGGCATTTGTACCTCGCGACGCGGGGGCTACAGAGGGAGAAGACGGAGAGGTGCCATTCTGAGAAGCGGGAGTTGCCCGGTCCTGGAAATAGCTCACGGACATGACTGGATGGGTGTTGTGACTTTGGGCCCAGAAAGGTGGCATATCGGGCTGACAAGGGGCAAGTGCAGCCGAGCCTTATCGATATCGGTCGCGTCACCTGCGTGACTGCCATGTGCCCTAGGATAGCCGCAACCATCTCTCTTCCTAATCGCTATCACGCTG